CACACACACACACACACACACACACGTATTTAATCTATTTAGATCTGCAAATACCCAGGGTTATAAAGTTTTTGCTCTGTCCTTGATGGCTTTATGCCAATTTCTTCAACCTCTCAAATACGTGAGTGTCTTCCTCCTCACAAATCAGCACAGGACTGCAGTCCTAAAGCCTCAATACACCCCCTGTAAGTTTACATCAACTTATTCAACACCTGTGGCTAAACCCATACACCCACTATGCCTTCTGTTTTCTATCCCATTCATTTCTAAACCCTCTGCTTGGTTTCATTTTTTTTCCTTTCCCCAATTACTAACAGCAAGAGAGGGTCCCAACTGAATTCTTTTTTTTTTTAGACAGAGTCTTGCTCTGTTGCCCATGCTGGAGTGCAGCGGTACCATCTCGGCTCACTGCAATCTCCGCCTTCTGGGTTCAAGCAATTCTCCTGTCTCAGCCTCCCGAGTAGCTGGGATTACAGGTGCCCGCCACCATGTCCAGCTAATTTTTGTATTTTTAGTATAGACGGGGTTTCACCGTGTTGGCCAGGCTGGTCTTGAACTCCTGAACTCAGGTGATCCGCCCGCCTCGGCCTCCCAAAGTGCTGGGATTACAGGTGTGAGCCACTGTGCCCAGCCCCAGCTGGATTCTTGGAACTGAAATTTCTACGTTTGCCTAAAAGGTACACAGGGAAGTGTGTTACAGATCCATCTTTGCTGGCAATCCAGTCTCAGCCTTTTCTCTTGTTTGCCATACCCCATCTTCCCAACAAGCTTCTGGGAAATGGAGACTGTGTCTTGCTTCAGGAGACTTAGATGTGAAAAGCAAATCTTCCTCAGATAAACACGGTGGCCCACTCATGTGTTTAGAAAGTTATAAATGACCATGCCCACAAAAACACAAAAGAAAAAGATCATCTTCTCCCTCACTGGATTAAAGATGTATCTGTGCAGATACAGGATGATTTAAAAATGGATTCCCTTTCAGATTAAACTGAATTGAAACATTTCCTTTTCACTTGGATTTAGACGAGAAAATGCTATTTGCAGGCACATGATAAACTCCCCACTGTCTGTCCAGATCTTTCTCCCAAGCTCCAGATTCATATACCCAGGTGCCCACTAGGTGGATCAACTAAGATGTTTAACAGGCATCCCGCACTCAGCTCTCCATTCTCTACCTCCACATTCCTAACCTCTTCTAATTCCCCTTTCTCAGCTAAAGTCACCACCGTTCACCCAGTTCCCAAGTCAAAACCTCGGATGCTGCCACTAATTCTTTCCACCAATCTACCCACAAGTCCTATTGGTTCCACTACCAAAACGTGTAGATTCTGCTCACTTGTACCTCTGCTACTTCCACTCTGGAACCAGCCATTTTCATTACCCCATCCCAGCTGGACATAAGCAGTGGCCTCTTAACCAGTGTCCTTGTCTGTCCTGAGTTCCCAGCATGCTCTTCCGAGCAGGCAGAATCTTTTAAAAATGTACACCAGATGGGCTGGGCACGGTGGCTCACGCCTGTAATCTCAGCACTTTGGGAGGCTGAGGCGGGCGATCACAAGGTCAGGAGACTGAGACCATGCTGGTTAACACGGTGAAACACCATCTCTCCTAAAAATGCAAAAAATTAGCCAGGCATGGTGGCACATGCCTGTAGTCCCAGCTACTCAGGAGGCTGAGGCAGGAGAATTGCTTAAACCTGGGAGACGGAGGTTGCAGTGAGCTGAGGTCCCACCACTGCACTCCAGCCTGGACGACAGAGCGAGAGTCTGTTTCAAAATAAAAAATGTACACCAGATCATTTAGGAAAGAGCATTTGAAAATCTTTATTTTATAAAAAGTTGTAATGGGGACACAGAATTGGTTTAATAAAATTTAGGGTTTACTGAATGCATAGCTTTGGCGAGGGGTGGGGCTTCGTGTTTTCTGGAAGCATATTCGTCATCTTGATTTTTGCTCCTAAGCATTTCTTGAGCAGAATTCTACTAGTGGTAGAAACAGGAGGTCCAGAAAAGTCCTTGGTGACAGACTGACGACTAAAGAGCTCTGTGATTAGGTTTTTTAGTTTACTGGTGCCCTTTCTTCGGAGAGTCCAAGACACTTGAACCTGATCTATCTATACTCTAGTTAGCGGCAAACATTTTCTTTGTTCCACTTACCTGGAAGATATCTTGATTGTTTCAAGTAGTACTGTTTAGAGGTTGGAGCAGTTGACAATTCGGAATCAGATTTTAGGGAAATAACCGCAGGTAAGCTCTTGTTTTCCCCTGTCGAGTGGCTGGCGCCTGAGGGTACTGGCTCTGGAAGCCTTGAAAGCCAATGAAAGGTAGCATTACAGCACGAACAGCAGGAGGATCTCGCCCACCCTCTGCACATCTTCCTAAGCCAGTCAATCTGACCTCTCTTAAATGGTTTCCATCAGTCTTTTGGCTCACTGACAACTTCCCCTCTACCCCCGCAGACATCAGGTTGTGCACAGACGCATTTCTGATGCCAGACAGTATGTGACAGGAGGCTTTAGAACTGAGCAGCAGTTTGCTTGTGTATAGTATGTTTCTATCTGTCCTGCAACTGCTGCAAGTGGATTCAAAACGTGGGAAGCTGGTGTGTGGAGACAGAAATAACAGCCATCTTCACCTGTTGACTAAAATAATTTATAATCAATGAGGTTGTTTGGGGCACGGTTTGGATGGCCTAAAAAACTGAAGTGGGGAAAGAAGTGCTAGAAAAGCTCCCATATACAATTTCCGGTTACCCTAGTGTCAGGCACAGAAAATAGGTATTTGTGGAGACGTGCCTGTGTCTCAGGAGCCAGAACAGACTTGTGCAGTGGCTAAGCACCTAGCTGGCTGTTTGGTGGTGTTAGTATTAAGACTGACTCTCTGCCCGTTGGTCACTGACTCCCACAGTCCTGTTTCTGTGCAGGGACTGAGGACTTTCTACTTCGAGGCTTAGTTTTGTCTCATGCCCAAGGCCTGTTCCTGAGGCCTCTTTGACCAGGTAGCAGTGCGTGAGGCAGCCATTGCTTTGTTCTGCTGCCCATTCCTCTGTGTGTAATGAGCCCTCCACGACCAACCTCCTCCCCACCACCCTCCGACTGGGCTCCTTCTTTGCTGGGGCCTGAATATACTGCCCAATTTCCATCACTTGTTAACTCCAAGCATCCATGGTTTCCACCTAGAAATTCATGCTACCGTACCCTACTCACCAAGTCGACTCCCTTGGAAATGGACACTCACTTGGGTGGCCCTTTGAACTACTGGCCACCTGCTTGGGGGCAGTTCTAGGCACAGGTACGTCTGCTTCATTGGGAACAGTCCCGCCATTTCTGGCATCTTTCCCTTCTCCTGAGCCCACTGCTGTTGTACCACTAACTGAAATTCTACCCAGTCTCAAAACTGCCCACTCTAAAAAGACTTTTCTCTCCTCATCAGAGGGCTCTCTGCCCATAGACAGAACACCCAGTGCTCCTTGCGGCTGTCACTAGTGGCACTAAATACACACACTTGTCATGTGTTATCGTCCTCCGGAGGTCTTATTTCTGTTGCTATATATTTGATGAGTTGAGGAGAGGCTTAATTCCAACTAGGTATTCAGTAAACATCTACTGAATATAAATGCAAGTATAAATGTAAATATAAATATCGTGCTTTTTGTTCACTTTTAAGAAGACAATCAGGCCGGGCGCAGTGGCTCACGCCTGTCATTCCAGCACTTTGAGAGGCCAAGGCGGGTGGATCACCTGAGGTCAGGAGTTTGAGACCAGCCTGGCCAACATGGTGAAACCCCATCTCTACTAAAAATATAAAAATGAGCTGGGCATGGTGATGGTCACCTGTAATCACCCAGCTACTTGGGAGGCTGAGATAGGAGGATTGCTTGAACCCAGGAGGCAGAGGTTGCAGCGAGCCAAGATCACGCCATTGCACTCAGCCTGGGTGACAAGAGCAAAGCGCCATCTCAATAATAATAACAATAATTTAAAAAATAAGACAACCATTAAATAAAAGGTATACATGTTAGTATTTGGTACTCTGTATTCTTTATGGGGAGGCCTTGGCTGCCTGAGAGACCTAGCAGGGGACGGCAGGGTCTGTTCAATTCACCAATTCACCTCCTATTCACAAATCCACCAAATTCACCTCCTATTCACAAATTCACCAATTCACCTCCTATTCACAAATCCACTAATTCACCAATTCACCTCCTATTCACAAATCCACCAATTCACCACCTATTCACAAATTCACCAATTCACCTCCTATTCACAAATCCACCAATTCACCAATTCACCTCCTATTCACAAATCCACCAATTCACCAATTCACCTCTAATTCACCAATTCACCTCCTATTCACCAATCCACTAATTCACCAATTCACCTCCTATTCACGAATCCACCAATTCACCAATTCAGCTCCTATTGCTAAAGAAGCAGCGTGGGGTAGAAGAGAGAAAGATCTGGATTTGAATTAATCCTCACCTGATCTTGGGCAAGAAACCCAGCCTATCTGAGTCTCAGCATTCTAGTCTGCAGATATTTTTACTGAAGTATGAAAATTATAAAGTTTAGGCAGGAGCTTAACAGCTGGTAGTATATTAATAGTAATGATGATCATAATAATAACCATATGCCAAGAATTGTACAGGACCATTGAAAGATGCCAAAAAATAAAAATGTAGAAGAAATGGCCGGGCGCGGTAGCTCACGCCTGTAATCCCAGCACTTTGGGAGGCAGAGGTGGGCGGATCAGGAGGTCAGGGGATCAAGACCATCATGGCTAACACAGTGAAGCCCCGTCTCTACTAAAAATACAAAAAAATTAGCCAGGCATGGTGGCAGGCACCTGTAGTCCCAGCTACTCGGGAGGCTGAGGCAGGAGAATGGCATGAACCCGGGAGGCAGAGCTTGCAGTGAGCCGAGATCGCACCACTGCACTCCAGCCTGGGCAACAGAGCGAGACTCCGTCTCAAAAAAAAAAAAAAAACATGTAGAAGAAATACCTACATGAAAAATTCATTGTCATACCACTTTTCTAAAGAATTTCAAGAGAAAAGGGATAATTAATGTTGAAGAAATTTACTAGTTGTATTACAACCTTGATCTTTTTTTGATTTTTTGAGACAGTATCTTGCTCTGTTGCCCAGGCTGGGGTGCAGTGGCTCCACCTTTCAAGCTTAAGCAATCCTCTCACCTCAGCCTCCTGAGTAGCTCAAACTACAGGTGTGGGCTGCTACATCTGGCTAATTTTTGTATTTTTTTTTTTTTTTTTGTAGAGATGGAGTTTTGCCATATTGCCCAGGCTGTTCTCAAACTCCTAAGCTCAATCAACCCACCCACCTCGGCCTCCTAAAGTGCTAGATTTATAGGCCCAAGCCACCATGAACAGCCACAACCTTGATCTTAAATATAGGTTTTGATTCAAACCTCTACCATCCTCAAAAATATATGAGTAAAATTTATGAATAAATTATGAATAATTATAAATAATTATGAATAAAATTTAGCTGAAATCAGAATGACGTGGGTTTTAAAAAATGTTTTCAAGTCGCCAGGCACGGTGGCTTATGCCTGTAATCCCAACACTTTGGGAGGTCAAGGCCAGTGGATCACCTGAGGTCAGGAGTTTGAGACCAGCCTGGCCAACATGGTGAAACACTGTCTCTATTAAAAATACAAAAAATTAGCTGGGCATGGTGGCACATGCCTATAACAATCTGAGCTACTAAGGAGGCTGAGGGAGGAGAATTGCTTGAACCCTGGAGGCGGAGGTTGCAGTGATCACATTACTGCACTCCAGCCTGGGCAATGAAGCGACATTCTGACATCCCGTCTCAAAAAGAGAAAAAAGAAAATAAAATGTTTCAAGTCTCCTATATACTACATCAACGGTCTTCAAACTCTTCTGTTCCTAGACCCAAATAATTTTTTTTAACTACGTAACTCCCTGCACGTCTTTAAATTGACATCTATAATTTTTTATCATAAATTTATTCCTTATTTCTTGTTAACAGCAGATAGAAACGGTATTTTATAAGATGAAATATTGTGAGGATTGACTGCAACTGCAGTGTTTCATGGTATGGTTTGATAAAATAAGTTTTAACTACCTTATCCATAATACACTCAAAAAAATAAATAAAATTTTAATCCACGTGTTTTGAAAACACGTGGATTAAACACATGGATTAGGAAAGAGTATCTGTGGAATGTGAAGACCTGGAAATGGATTGCCTAAGAGTTACCCAAGCAAAAAAGAAAAAAAAAAAAAGAATTATCCAAGCATATGTACTCCTTAGAGACTCCCCGCGTGCCAAAGTGAAGACTTCCATATTATAGCATGCCAAATAGCTACAGGATAAGTTTTCCTGACTCATAACACAACTGTTCTTCCTATTCTTCTGTTTCAAAGAGAAAACAGAGCATTTTAGTATATTTGAAAGAATACACATCACTAAGCCCCGGTGCTTCAGTGCTTCCAAATCACCATGCTTTCCAACATGGGCTAAAATACAGTAGCCCCCATCATGTGTGGGGGATATGTTCTAAGACCCCCAGAGGATGCCTGAAACCATAGATAGTACTAAACCTTATTCAGCCCGTCTTTTCCTATATGTATGTGCATACATACCTATGAGGAAATTTAATATGTAAGTTGGGCACAGCAAGAGATTAACATTAATAACTAATACTAAAATAGAACAAGTATAACAATATATTGTAATAAAAGTTACGTGAGTGTGCTCTCAAAAATATCTTTTTTTTTTGAGAGAGTCTCACTCTCACCCAGGCTGGAGTGCAGTGGCACGATCTCGGCTCACCACAACCTCTGCCTCCCGGGTTCAAGTGATTCTCCTGCCTCAGCCTCCTGAGCAGCTGGGATTACAGGCGCCTGTCACCATACCCAGCTAATTTTTGTATTTTTAGTAGAGACGAGGTTTCACAGTGTTGGACAGGTTGGTCTTGAACTCTTGAACTCAGGCGATCCACCCACCTCAGCCTCCCAAAGTGCTAGGATTACAGGGGTGAGCCACCACACCCAGCCCAAAATATCTTATTGCACTGTACTGCAGGTAAATGAAACCATGGAAAATGAAACTGCAGGTTAGGGGAACTACTGTACCCGATTTCTATAAGACAAGAACCAACAGAAAGCCAGTTTTCTGATTTGTCCCTTTATTTAGTAACTCTATGCCATGTAAGAATTGAAATAACTGAGAGGTGTGACTTTCTTGCCTAAAGTGGAAGAGGACTTGAGTGGGCTTTTCCTCAAATTCATGTATTTTTAGGAAAGAGTACCTATGGAAAGTGAAGACCTGGAGATGGATTGCCTAAGAGTTATCCAACCAAAAAAGAAAAAAAAAAAAATTATCCAAGCCTATGTACTCCTTAGAGACTCCCCGCGCGCCAAAGTGAAGACTTCCACACTATACCATGCCAAATAGATACGGGATAAGTTTTCCTGACTCATAACACAACTGTTCTTCCTATTCTTCTGTTTCAAAGAGGAAAAGAAAAAAAAAAGAAAAAAAAAAAGAAAGTATCTTTCCAAAATATTCACCAAAACTTAACCCATCCTAACTTCAAAGTTGAATAATACACTGAGGATGACCTCACTTATAAAAAGAAAAGGAACTGCTAGAGAGATTAAACTTCCAGAAAAGACTCAGGAAATGATTGAAAAAAGTTTAGAACAGCAAGCAAGCAGATAATGAAATCTTCACACCATCAGAAGCAGCCGTTAACTTGGCATGTGGTGCTCTGCTTTCTGCAACGAGGCATGTCAATTTCAAAGGAGAATAATGATGGTCATTCACAAGAGCATCGTGAAAATGGAACAAGATCCCCTCTGATATGTTTTGGACATCTGTCCTCTCTAAATCTCATGTTGAAATGTAATCCCCAGTTTTGGAGGTGGGGCCTGGTGGGAGGTGTCTGGATCATGGGAGCAGATCCCTCATGAATGGCTTGGTACCATCCTTGCGGTAATGAGTGAGTTCTCACTCTGAGTTCCCCCGAGACTTGATCGTTTAAAAGAGTCTGGGACCTCCTCCCTCTCTCTCTTGCTCCCTCTCTTGCCCTGTGACAGGCTGGATCCTCTTCCGCCTTCCGCCATGATTCTAAGTTTCCAGAAGCCCTCACCAGAAGCAGATGCTGGCACTATGCTTCCTGTACAACCTGCAGAACCCTGGGCCAACACATTCTTTATAGCAATGCAAAAACGGACTGACACACTCTCTCTACACACCCCCCCCCGCCACTCATCTGTTAATACTGAGAATTGTTACTGTGAGAAGATTCTTACCTTTTCAGAGGTATGTGGAAAGATTTGCATTTTGTGGAAGGAACCAATATATTAAGCAAACTTTTTTTCTTTTTTGAAATGGAGTCTCACTTTGTTACCCAGGCTGGATCGCAATGGCGCGATCTTGGCTCACTGCAACATCCGCCTCCCAGGTTCAAGAAATTCTCATGTCTCAGCTTCCCGAGTAGCTGGGATTACAGGTGCATGCCACCATGCCCAGCTAATTTTTGTATTTTTAGTAGAGACGGGGTTTCACCATGTTGGCCAGGCTAGTTTCAAACTCCTGGCCTCAAGTGATCAACCCACCTCCGCCTCCCAAAGTGTTGGGATTACAGGCCTGAGCCACTGCGCCCGGCCTATTAAGCAAACTTTTCTTCTTTTAAGGTCTACATGCATTTATATTTAATGAGTAAAATAAAGTGAATGCATGGCAAAAATAGTTTTCTGAGGAATTTGAAATCTTACCGAAATGGAGAATCTTTTTTCCTTTTGTCTTTAAAAACACCCATGCTTGGCTTCTTGGAATGGGAGGCTCCGAAATCATAGTCCTCCATCTCTTCCCAGCTGTCTCCAGACTTGAAGACAGTCTGACCCCAACGCCTCCTACCACTTTTATGACTCAGTGTGCCATTTGGCTTCTGTGGTGGAAAATCAGTCATAATCTTTAATCATGTACTGAATGCCTTTCATGTACAAGCTACTACGTAAGACACTAACAGTCCCCATTCTCAAGGAGCGTTCCATACACTTAAGGGCATAACATATATACACATTTAAAAGCATGAACAAAAATGGGCGGTACATGCCAAAAATATGACAGGTGTTCAGAGGAGAGATCTCTGTGAACTAGGTCGGTGGGAGACTTGAATATTTTGGATCTGAGTTGACTCTTCATTGACACGAAGGATCTGGAAACTCGAGACTTGGCTATGTCTCTTTGGGCAAGGGACTTAACTTCTCAAAGCCTTGGTGTCCTTAACTGGGGACAGCCTTAATGAGAAGGACACTAAGGCTGGCATGTGCCAGCATCTTTTACTCTTCCCCCTCCTTGAATGTAGACACGACATCCAAAGGCACACCAGTCATCCTGTGGCCACAGGCAAGACAGCCACCTGCTCAGGGTGGTGGAGCGGGAAGCCAGCAGCAGCCTGCCTCCTCTGCAAACTTCATGAGCTCCACCACCCAATTTCTTGTTATGTGAGAAAAACAACCCCTATTGTTTAAGCCACAGGGGTCGAGTTTTTGTCATAAGTCCCTGAATGTAATCCTAACGGAAACAGAGAGGGAAGTATGAGTCTGACTGCCACAGAATGGAGGCATTGTTAACAGAAATAAGGAACAGGAAAGAAGTCCTGGCTTGGAGCACACAATGAATTGGTTTTATACAAATTTACAGAGAGTGGTTTGGGGGCACATAAACAGAAAAATCCAAAAGGCAACTCAAAACTAGGGAATAGAGCATGGAAAATTGTCAGAAAATACAGCTATGTCGGGTGCAGGGAGATGCTTAAAGAATGGACATGCTATTGCTTGAAGCTGATGGTGTCACAGTGATAGTGATGGATGATAACAAAAAGCAGTATTTGCCAGCTTCTACACTATTATTTTCTCTGCCAGGCAGAACAATCTCCAGAATAAAGAGAATAAAAAAATGTTAAGCTCCAGATGAGTAGGGTTAATAAAAGGTTACCCTGAGCTGAGTCTGAGCTTCCCTTCTGTTGAATTGTATTTTAGGGTGCCAATGCTGAACGCTGCTGAACAATGTCAGTGATATCCAAGAATCCTGTACGTCTGAGAAGACTGGAAAGTGGCAAATATAATACTCTTAATAAAGTAGAAGATTTATTTTTGCAAATTCCACATCAGTAAGTTTGGTAGAGGATGAGGGCAAAGATTCTAAAATCAATTATTAAGTGGGATGTTTGTGAGCACTAAGGAAAAACAGTGATAGCTCATATAGACCACACTTTTTCATGAACGGCAAACAATGAATTCATTCAATGTAGTGTATGTGAACTTTAGCCCATTGGGTGAAGGCAGCAAAGGCGATCAGCACATAGTTGAAGAACTTGACCAAGAGTACTGATGAATGGATCAATGTCAGTCTAGGAGAAGGTTGTAGTGGCCTGCCCAAGATCTCACGGTCGTTCTATTCATCATGAAGATTCAGGAGGAAAACAGACAACTAAACAAATACATAGCTGGCAAGAAGGTGGGCAGAATGGGTAAACTGAGAAGAAAAAATAAAGATTCAAAAATAATTAGAAATTGGAGATGTAAAAGGTCTTGCAACTTTTTGAATCCTAGAGATGAAATACACAAGTCAGAGGTACAGAATATGCAATTTAGGAGAAGCATTTATGAAAAAATCGGTATACTTAGAAATTTTAGTTGACACAATACTCAATCCCTGGATTAAGTATTGGAACTTACCTATATAAAAATGTGTGTGTGTGTGGCAGGGCGGGGGGCTAGGTTATTCTCTTTAACTTAGAGAATACACACAGGGTCCCTAGCATATGCATGGCATTTAGTAGCTACTCAATAAATAGTAACTTCCTTTCCTTCCCTCACAGTATGAGTCAGCAATTGGGGCATCTTCTAAGCGGTTGTGGGGAGGACTGTAATCATTGGTGGCACGAGTGCACACGTGGTTTAGAGTGTTGGAGGTGATTCGTCCTGCTCTATATTCCCTGCCTGCTGTCTGCCTCCAGTTCTGGCAGCCTCATTCTAAGTGGGAAGCAGGATGAGAGGGGACTTAAAGGCATATACATAATAGGAACTGAGAGTTACCAGTCATTGGTGAATGGCGTTATATGCAGAGCCCTTAAGGGAAATGGAGATATTTCTCTAGAGAAAAGGGCAGATAATATAAGGGCTATTTTCAAATATCTAAAAGGCTGCCTTTCTAGAAAAGTGATTAGCCTTCATTAAAAGCTAGAAAACCAGATTTTACCCAGTATAAGGAAGAACTTTCTAATATTCAGAATTGTTCCAAAGATAAAGGGGACTCCTTGGGACCCCAGAGGTGGTTTGCAAGTCATGTGGGCAATTATTCAATCCTTCATTCACTGAACAAATATTTACTGAGAATCTACCATGTGGCGGGCACTGGTCAGGGTGCTGAGGCTGTACTGATAATCAGAAAACATTCCTGACCTCACTGAGCTTGCTGCACTCCAGAGGAAGAGACAAATAAACAATAAACCTAAGAAATAAGTAATTAACAGTATGTTAGAATGTGATTAGTGCTACTGGGGGACGAGGAGGCCTTGCTTATACTGGGTTGGCAGGGCAGGTGGAGACTGGATAAGGAAATAGATACGTGCTGTGTAAGACCAATTGCCATCCTAAAATGCCATAATGCAAACACATTTGGGAGTGTATACCCCAATGGGACAGCTAAAACACTACAGCAACTGAAGAGCTCCTGGAGTCGAACAAAAGATGGAAGAAAAAGTTTTATACTATGCCTGACACTTCAAAAACCCATTCTGGCTGGGCACGGTGGCTCACGCCTGTAATCCGAGCACTTTGGGAGGCCAAGGAGGG